CCGGCAGCCGCCCGCCTGCGTGCAATTGTCGTGGGTGGCCCTCTTTCAGAAAGTGGCCAAGTTGGTGGAGGTGCAATCGGAGAACGCTAGGAACCCGTCATCACATTCCGCTACTATGTTGTCCTCCAGTTGCAGTATGGTGTGGTACTGCGCGACCGGGAAGAGGAGGATATTCTTACAAATAAGCTTAACCTTAGGATACTGTACTACAATATGAGTAACAACGTTAGATTGAAAAATTTTAATTTTAGAAACATCCATAGGCCAATAGTTAGTACTGGGTTCTCAGTAAGCTGCTCGCCAAAAATAGCCTTTAGGTCGTTATGGTTGAATATAGTAGGATTTATTATGTTATTTTTAGCTAAGGTAATAGTGAGCATATAATTTTGGATTCCGGAGATTAGCATTCTATTTCTGGCGAGGTGTATTTCGAACAAATGACCTGAGTCAACAAGCCGGTGCTTTTTTTCCTTGAGGACCCTATTGACTGTGTCTGTGAGTAAGTTAATGTGTTTATGTGTTAATAACTGTGTTCTGTGTTAATAACAACCTCTCAATTGTTAGCCTCAATAAGCAATGCCTGATTGGTATTAATTTTACTAAGATCATCCACGTCGGGCGTACCCGCCACGTCCTTAAGGACTGAGCCCAACAAATCAAGGCTCCTGGCCATCCTGTAATTTATCTTGAGCTCATCCAAAATATTCTGGGCATGTTCGATGTCGACTTCCTGCAGCCTCCTCATGTGGGATTCTTGGAACAGTTCGAACATTCTGACCGTGGAGTCAATTGTGATAAAAAATTCGGACAAATTTGTCGAGTGCCTAAATAGGCCATACTGTTCCCATACTAAAACATTCCCGTCTACCACCGGGATGTATATCGCATGCGAGAAATCAGTGATCAGCAGTACGATGGATATTACGGCTAGACTGTGGAAATTAAGATAAGGCGAATGTGGCAGATAAAATGATAATCTGATGTTGTCCATATGGAGCACCCTCTCCCTAATGAGAACAGATGTTCCCAGATCTGCTTCCACACGCTCTTCCGAATAAAGCGGCGTCAACTTATTCCCCTAATCTCCTGTTGTTACGTAGGCGTACTTTTTCACCAACTTCAAAGACTCGGTTCTGTCTGGAAGGATTAATTCTGTCCAAGCTAGACCGTTGTGCTTTGCCAAGTTTTGCTTTAATTGCCAGTTTGATCTCGTCGCTGCTGGCGGGGATGATCTCCTATCTTTCTACTTGGTCATTGGAGCTGCTGTGTAGCGGTGGTGCTTTGACAACATCGATGCTGTATCGGTTTTAAAAGAGGCCTCTTTGTCGCAGAATATGGTTTTAATATCAGGGTAGAAATTTGGAGAATAGGAACTCGTACATCTATTATTAAACTAGAAACTAAGGGTTGTACGATAGCGTCTTTGGACAATTTGTCGATACAGGTTAAGAAGATTTTTTTGACAGTTGAAAAAATGACGATATGCAACATTTCTCCTATGTATGAAGGGGTTGGTGTGTTTCCTAATACCTGCTTCTTAGGACCTTGCAATTTGCTACAACTTCGCTAGTAGTTTTGACATGTTTGGGAAGTAATAATCCCGGAGGATTTCTTTTGCGTTCTCTTGTGCAGTCCAATGGACGCGAATGTGCTCTGTGGTAGTGATCTCAAGCTGTTCATTGGCATTGGTAATGTCGCTGACGACATTGGCCAAAACTTTGTTACCGGGAACTCCTGCCTCAAGGCATGTTGAATGCGAGCCAGGATAGGGAAATCACAGTGAATCGTGCTCACAACGTTGGCGTTGATAACCTCTTTAACGGATTCAACAATCTTTGTTATTAAAGTCTTTGTTGATAAACTCTCCGTAGCGGTTGGCTTGCCTCTTCCGAAATGATTTGGTTTCTAACGCAGTTTTGGGGTTCGTCAGTGGTTCCTATAATGTGTGCGAGAGCGAAAGCTCACTATGCACCGTGGCTGCATCGGACTGGGTCTCAGCCTCTAAGTTGTTCCGGGTGTGTAGAACACTTACCCATTGTGCTCATCAATAAAGGCTTTCCATCGCTTAATTTGTCGGATACGGCGTAGGTAAGAGTATTCATGGTAATTGGTCTTTTATTTTGAGACAATACTGCACCTATTCCACTCGCTGAGGCGTCGGTGGTTAAGTCAAACGGTAACTTAAAATCGGAGTATGTCAATATGACATCTTCTGATGCCAAGATATAACGAAGGTGGTCGAATGCGTTTCGCTGGGTTTCATCGATCGTGACAGTTACTTTTTTTGACATATTCTTGCTGACCATTCCGTTTTCCCCTTTGAGAATGGCGGTGAGAGGTCTAGCAATAGCGGCAAAGTTTTTTACAAAACTTTTTTAATAGCTTGCCAGGCCAAGGAAGGACCTGAGGCAAAACAGTTTTTTTGGTTTGGGGAACTCTTTTATTACCCTAGCCTTTTCTGGATCTGTTTTGGTTCCTCTTGTGACAATAAATCCTAAAAATTATAACGTCATCAACGTAGACGTAACATATTTTGCCACTTTCTTCCCGCAGCATATCAACGATGGCTCTTTGGAAAACACTACCTGAATTTTGTAGGTCGAAAGGCAGTCGGCAAAATTCGTACTTCCCTCCATTAACTGAGAACGAGGTTTTTATCGGTCTTTGTCAGCCAGTTATATTTGATGATACGCTGACTTCAAGTCTAGGGTAGTAAAGAATTTGACTTTCCCCAAGTTCGCTACAATCATCTGTATACTTGGCATGGGAACGCGATCGGCGACTGTTCACTCATTCAGCTTCCTGAAGTCGATTACCAATCGCTTCTTTCTGATGCCATCATCGTCAGTCCAAGTTGCACTGTTGTATGGTGATTACGACGGTCTAATTATAACATTATTCAGCAGTTCCTTGATTTATTTGTTAACATAGTCTGCTGCCTCCTCAATAGGATAGGGGTATAGTTTGGAGACGGGTAGACGGGTTCGTTACTCATAGTTCGAATAGCTGCGATGACCGATGGTACCACTATGTCATCGATTTTGGTGAAGTTGACGTTTTCATAGTCAAAGAGCTTATCGGTGGCGTTTGCGTATTTTATTACGCCGTTGCCTAAGTCCAAGGCTACTTCTGCTCGCGTAAGCGAATCGAAGCTTATTATAGCATCGAACGTGCTCAATGTGTCCAATAGAAAAAATGGGGCGTCTAACCCAAAAATGCGCATTATTCACTTGCTTTTGACGTCACTGGAGCTCAATAGAGCTCACAGTGAAGGGGGTCTCGACCGGCATTACATTTCTTAGCTCCTTTACGGGCTTAACGTAATTTTTTGCCGTCCCCGTATCGATGAGTATTTTTAGTGTTCTGCTGGCAAACTGTGTCTCTATGAACGGCAGTCGGAAGCGCTCCCTAAGTTCGGCAGTGTCAGTGTCAACTTAAGCCTCAGCTGCGTCGGAGTAACCTGCCTCATCCTGTTAAGGTTGGGCTATATTATTAACGCTTTGGCGTCTTTGGCCCGATTGACGCTGAGACGAGTTCTGCCTTTTGTAATTGTTATTACTCCGTGACTTCCCCCAGCATGTTTCCTGCCTGAATTTGGCCGTCGAGGGGTCTACCACCATAGGTTGAACTTTATTCTGGTCTACGGTTTCAGGATCCCTGCGCTTCGGCCATAGGTAGTCCTCATGAGGCTTGCCTTGGCCCTGCTTAGGGATGAAGTGTTGCGTCTATCGCCCTCATTAAAAGGGGACTTGTCTTCAATACTGTTCTCAGCCTCCCGCGCTAGCGCTCGTGCGGACGAAAGAGGTTTTGGGTTGTGCTGGCAGCACGAGTGATTTGAGTGGTCTTCTAAGCCATGCAATGAACGCATGAAGGGCGTTGTTATTTGAGTTACTTGATTACACTCTAAAAAATCGAAAACCAAATTTATTTGCATTTTTTATTCACATAAAACTGCTAGTCCAAGTGTACGCGACTTGAGTTACTTGACCAAAAAAATCAGAAATCGAAAACCGAGTCACTTTAAATATTTTAATAAAATTCATATTTCTTGGCAGGGGGGTCGCTAGACCGTGGTTGTCGCTAGTGTTCCTAGCCGCAATCGATATAGAAGGAGGCGGTTGGCCTGTGACATCAACTGTAGAAATATGTTGATAAGGTTGAGAGGGTAACCACCCTCTCTCAGCCGCTGGCCTTAAGACTCAGTCGGGGTATAAAATTAATAAGTCGATAATGGCGATCGCCGAAATTTCAGTTGAAGAGCTTTGGCTCGTTATTTATTGGAATATAAACGTGAACCAATAGCATAAAGGTACGGCCCATAGCGGTGCACTTCGCTGGCTCAGAACTTGGACACCATAAGGGTGGTACAATATTAGGGTGGCCATACGTGAGATATATTGGTATAACATACAAAGATTATTAAGTGATATATAAAAATTTAAAATGATATATATAGATAAAAAATGGATTAATAAAATCTAAAATTGCTCTTCCTAGCTTACGCTGGGAGCTGGTTGTTAACTTTTATAGTTCATAGGGTCGTAAATGTCTCTTCATTGCGATGAAAACTTCTGACTTAAATTGTAAGGGGTATAAAAAGACAGTACCTTTATTTAATTTTTATCTGCATTAAGGTCCCTTAAAGGTGCCACTCCAAGAATGGACAAAGCACTACCAACTGTAAATTATCAACTCTACAACATACTCAACTCCCACAAGCTTCATGTTCTAGTCCTTCCTATCTTTTTACCTTAAAAACCATATATCGAAGCCCAATTTTACAGACCTTTAGAACTAAGCCCATGCCTAGGACAAATACTCGAAAGAATGATTTGAAGTTGTTTACACATTAATAAGTAACTTAATTTTGTTTTACTTGTCCTTAAACAAAAAAAGAGCTATAGGCAGTCTTTTGAGGCGCTAAAAAAAAGTACTTCGACTGCTGCATGATTTCGGCCTGGGTCAATTTATAGTTGAATTATGATGTCAGCTATTCAAACATTGTCGTTTTGAGATACCTGGGAGCGGTTGCTTTTAGAACGCTGCCGTTCAGAAACTATATAAGACACGATCTTTGCTAGCTGATTTACTTTCGCTGAGCAAGAAGTTAAATGGCTACTTGGTTAAACATGTGGAGGGCTTTATTATTTATATTCTATTAAGAGTAGAGTAGAGTACAAGCTGGATGTAGATGGTGAATATAACAATGAATATAAACTATACTGTCTACAGCCAGATTAGTCTTAAGTCTTAAACTGTCCCACTTCCGATGTAGTCGATGCACCAAAACACTTATTTGCGACCTGGTACATGCGCCAATATATAACCACGGCCTATAGCAGACGGGTCAGGTCGCTGTGACGGGTCGTGTTTGTTTCTAAGTAGACCAATTCAAACATGCCTGGATTAGAAAAAGCCAGATATTAAAATGCTATTAGGGAAATTCCTGGGTGTAATTCTCTTTCCATTGCCTACCTGTGGTGAGGTCACAGGTCAGTCCTAGGTATCAAGACACTCAAAACACAAAATAAGAAGAATATTGTGTCTACCTGTCTCGTATAAAAAGGCCACGAAGGCATTGCTCTAGTATCAGTTGCCCAGCAACCAGCCTGGCCACAGGACTGTTACTTAACTCATTTTCTTAGATATCATACCAAGATGTCAACATACATCTGCACCGAGTTCCTAAGCCTGAACTTAAAGGACCTGCCGTCGATGTCCACCACCATCAACCTGAACGTAGCCCAATTTACACAGCGCGACCTGAATCTGTTCATCGACAGTCTGGAGTCCATATCACGTCTACAGAATAAGCGGCACGAGCTTTGTCAGCTGCGACAGGCGCAAAAACTTCATCAGATTCGAATGACAGACCTGGACGACGAGCGCTGCTCCAGTCCTACATTCAGTGCCGACGAGGCCTTTGATGAGCCGCTTTTATACCTAGAGGACAAAAGCATTTCTTATGCGGTTTCTGATGCCTTAAATGTCGAAAGCTTCAATATCCCTGGGCTGCCCGAGAACTACACCTGCGGCGACGAAGCCTATGACAGTAGCTCCTATTCACCACGCAGCAGCGTCACTTATTATAGCTGCGACGGCGTCTCCTGCCCGGATTCACTTTCCGCTGAATCGGGAGTCCACTTTTCCGTTTCGGCCCCACCCGTGCGTCCCCGCTCACAGGTGATAACGCGGCCCAAGCATCGCTCCACTCGATACCGCATTATCAGTATGGTGTTGAAGAGGGAGTACGTCAAGACCCCTAACTCTGAGCACGCAAAACAAAACGAGGAAGGCCAGAAGGATAATTCGAAGGAAAAGAGTTTTCTGGACAAAGCCCTGCGGTACCTTACCTTATAGTTTATGTCCGCTTTAATATTCGAAGCTTATAGGAATATTTGTATGACATATTTGTATTTCGAAAGCACAGCCAAACTAAGCTCCTTATACGCTACAGTCTCAGTTTATCCGATAGGTAAACCTATTAAAAAGTATGAATAAATCTTAACACCTCAACATACAATGTACCATTATAAACTCACAAAACTGACAAAAAGAAATACATTTTGAACAATGCCCAACAATTAAACGATTTTTTGCAGCTCAGTTTCTCCATTCAGCGAATTTCAGGAATTTAGAGTTTCAATCATTTAGGGAACACCCAAATTATGTATTCTGAATTTATTTACTTTTTTTCTAAGCTTCCATTTTTTCTTACTTACGAGGGCCTTAAAGGGACTTCTAGTCGTGTATGGAGTGAACGAAATAATGCCTCTCCAAATTCTGTGATTTAAGTGTTGGTTCGCTTAGAAATGGAAAATTGAAAAGTGATGAACAACTACTTTTTAGTGAAAATTGTTTTTGTCAAAATATAGATGTTATCTTGCGCCTCAGCTCGTTCTTTATCGGTTAACGCAATTCCAATAGCCTTAATACTGTATGTAAGTGACGGAACTAGATTCGTTTTGGTCTATGGAGCAATTCCCCGTGGGGTTACTTGGGCTTAGAAAACCTTAGATCCTTGAAAATGCCTAAAAGTTCCACTCGTCATCGCTGTCAAGCCTCACTACAAGAACGCAATTCAGTCGAGCCTCAGAATGAGTTTGCCTCGTGTGACGCATTTGACCGGGCCATTAACCACTCGGTTCGATTGAATGATTAGAAACTGGAAGCGCTGGATCAGTCGCTTACCCACAAGTTTGAGCAGAAGTTCACGCAGACGTGGTCGACTTTTGGGAGAACCATACTAGGCGATCGGCATTGGTCGGACTTGTATGGAGCCGCGGCCATAAACACCTCTAGATGTGCTATTGCTTCGAAACTTTCGTCAAAAATTAAAAAAAAATTTATAAATATATGTTTAAAAAATTGGACGGATCGTACCTCTATATCCTATAGCTTTAATCGAAACGATTGCCTCAGAGGTTGCGCTAAGATGAGAAAGCAGTCATAATTCAGTTCTTGTGATCATATAATTCTGCTATTTTTACTTTAAGTTATTTACAAACATTTGGACGTGGTTGGCCAATTCTACCACAAGCCCCGCTCTTACAAAAAGTTATAATAACAGAAAAATATTTTAAGAAATATAAAAAATGAATGAAATTACCAAAATCATGTAATTTTTAAATTGTTTCATTAAGCAAAGAAATTATTTCAAAAATGTTGATCATTTTCGCTTCACGATTTGCCAAAACAATGCAAGCTTCTTACAAATATATATATATCCCGCTCTCATTATGACACATACTTTGAATCTTAATTGGATTTGTACCGGTCTCGGAACACCATTTATTAATTATATAAATCGTTAATAAAAATACATCAAATAAAATAAGGAATCAAATACAATTTAAATTAAAAATTTGTTTAAAATGTGAACTCAAATGACAATCGCAAAACAACACAACAACAAGCTCGAAGACGAAGACAAAAACACCACAAAAAGCACAGTTACACAGACCACGTTGTTCTTTTCAAGGTTACGCAGCGGCTAGCAATATTTTAATTATTTAAAATTTTTTTATTAATATTTTAATGAAAGTTTGATCATTAACTTTAATTAACTTCACAACTAAATGTCTAAGTGAAATTTAAGATTTTTTTTGTTACATATTTGAAAAGGAAAAATTTTATTTAATTTCACAACAGTTATTTCATTTCGATTACATAATTGAAGTGTTTGGTTGAACTTCTGTAAGTAAATTAAAGTGAATCCAAAGTTAATACTTAATCAAAGCGTTATACATACGTGTCCGTAAATTATCCGTTTCATTAAAGTGCTCTGTGGTAAACCAGATTTTTTTGTTTTTTGGTCTGACGTTAACACAAACAAAGCGGATGGTTTCGCAACTCGTAAACACGTAACGCATAACTGCCCATGTGAAAAACAATGATTATCTAAATTTATCCCGCAAACAGAAAGCGAATTTGCTTCGCCGCGATTCCAGATGATGCTAAGGCCAAAGCTATGTCACATCTTGATCGAATAGTGGCCAAAATCAATGCAATGACAAATGTTTTCCGTGTTCCTCCAGGCGCGTCCAGGAAGTATAGACCACCAGTTGTATTGTCCACCGCTTGCATTAATGTTTCGTATACTTGTTTTTGCTGTTCATTTAGCAACGGCACATTATTAGAACGAATTCCTTTAATGCATTATTGTAGATATCATCGGATATTTGGATGTCAGGATTACTCATTTGAATGCGCAAGCGATGCAAGATATCTACACTTATCTCGTGTTTGTTTATTAACTAAATTAGTTGTGAAGGAAAACATATGGTGATGATAATTGCGAACAGCGTTCGTGTTTGGTAGGCATTTGATAAAACAGCTGAATCCACAAGTGTTAAATTTCAATAAGAATCGTTCTCCAGCAAACCCAATAGTTGATATGCTTTTTCTATATGTTTGGCATTGGTGGCCATACATTTACCAACAGCAGTCGCAAATAAAAACAATCATCATTTCTAGGATGAACAGTACACACTCGACCTAGTGCATCATTGGAAAACACCTGTGGCCAATCTGGAGCTGGGGTTCCTTGTTTGCGACGTTGGAAATTCTTTGTTGATCGATTCCAAGTGTAATATTTGGGCATTTCAACGTACATCCGGGTCGCTGCGAATGGATCTGCTTCACACATGGCAAAGATGCTAGTCAATTTTGACGATGGTGGTCTCTCAGCTCGTTGTGCCGCATTAGCCTCAGTGAAGTAAACTCTTTGGGCATTTTCCAAATGCAATGCTAAATGTACAACTTGGGGAAATCTTTTATGAATATTAAATGACAATAATCGCCATAGTGCTTCATTTGTACAGACGTAGTTGCCCATTTGACCATTTCTGATTTCGTCATTCGCATTTTCCGACGCATTACCAAACACAGCCATGTCGCTGCCTTATGAGACGTACTTGCACAAATATTTAATTGATTTGGCCGAATGACAACACTCAACGTTTTCATGCGATTCGTGATAGCAGAGGAAAATATGGTACAATGAATTCATTTCCAATCTCAATCTTTTGATTTTGAACTTTACCTTTGATAGTTCGACCATTATCTTCTTTTGAACGCCGACGATAAACTGGATATCCATCGTTCCCTGTGACGATTTCAGTAACTAACGGTCGCGGATATCGTTTTGTGCACTATCCATCATGAATTTAATGTACCGCACTGTCCATGCACCATCTGTATCGTCACAATGTCGTGTAGATGGGGATCAGTGACAGGATCAGGAATTTCAGCTGATATGATCTCATCCACTTCATTTGAATGTATTGGTTCAGCAACCAAATTAGAATATGAGCATGCGGTAGTCCACGTTTCTGTCATTCCACCGAGTACATATAACAACACTCCATTCACACTCCAAGCACATCCATCATAACCTTTAGTATTTGCTGAAATACTCGCACGATTATGTCATGGCGATCTTGCGGTTTTTGGCCCTGTTCCGGAGTTCCATAATTTCGCACGTACTTCCTAGCGTCTATTCGTGCAGGTGGCGTTGTCTTCCAATATAAGATGATGGGAGAATCGTCAGATGTCCAATATTCTGAACATCACCATCTGAATGAATAGCATCCCGCAAGTTTATATAGTTCTCAGATCGTAGCTTTGATATTCTTCTCATGTGTAGGAATCATCATACGACTCAAAATTCAAAACTAAATGAATTGTTAATGGAAACCAATAATAGCAATAATAGAAATAATTTGTGTGTGAATATTGTACCTGTAATTAGATTGACAATCTTCAACGTGATGTCGTGTCCGTCTTGCCCTTGCCATTAATGATTGGATATTGTAACGCATAGAACAAACGATGTGTCTCGTTTATACGATGCATGATATTGCTTCTTCGCTGAACGACAATGTCTGGCGATTTAGTTGGATCGCCAACAAGAATTGCAGCAACATCATTACCGGTGGGTGCATGGAATCTTCTCAGACGTTATCCTCTTGGGGTACAATCCGCTTGTATGACAAATTTGTGCGTATCCGATGGCATTCGTTCCACTGCTGTTTTGAACATATTAACTACAGCATTATTAGCGTGAAAAAATGCTTGCAACTGTTCAATAATTCGTCTCTTTAACTGTTGTGTTTCCTGTACATTGCACCGCACATTCAGCCACCATCGACGAAATGAAATGTATTTGCAGAAATTGATGCGGTTCATCTGGTGTTCGCACAATTGAAATATGCAAATTAAATATTTGCCCTTGTATCTGTAATTGCAATCAATCATTTTTTGAAGAATACGTTGTAACTTCTGATCGTGTGATGGTGCACTGTTTGGTGTATATGCAGTTGTTATGTGTTGCAATTCATTATGTTGGTGTGTGTGGTTGGTTAGGTGTGTTTTATCTTTTACCTTGCAAGTCGGCAAGAAGCCGCCTTCTCGAATGATATTAGCTCCAAAGGAAGTCATGCGAAAGCAGTTATTGTATTTAAGGATGTGTTGAAGAAATTGGTTGGAATCGGGACCATTTCCAACGAAATATGGTTTCAGTGGCTGTGGTGGTGTAAGTAATGGATCCAGTTTGACTCTTCCACTTGCCCAGCACAATCCAGCCGTTTCTGTTTTGAACTTTAACGCATTGCGATATCGGCATATAGTCGTCATTGGTCCAATATCTAAATTTTGCAATGCCAAGCGATTGAAAGATGCCAATCTTCGTGTCCTCACGCATTGTCCTCAAATGCACAAATCCACTTAATTTACACAGTTCGTTTAATCACTTTAAAGACAAATGCCTGCTGTTGAAATTGAATGAAAATTTGCACAATACATGTGATTGATTTCATGGTTTCCAATTAAAATCTTAAAAATCGAATAACTAAGTTTTT